TCCCGCCCCCCCCCCCCCCCCCCCCCCCCCCCCCCCCCCCCCCCCCCCCCGCCCCCCCCCGCCCCCCCCCCCCCGCCCCCCCCCCCCGCCCCCCCCCCCCCCCCCCCCAATCCAAAGCCCCCATATAGTAATGATCTTCCAGTCTGAATAGCGTCACGTATAATAGACTATAATCGTTATAAGAGGAGTACCCACAAATTATAAACTGGGTGGGTCATATTATAAGGATATCGATACAGAGACTTTAACGCTTGCATAGAGTTGTTATCTTCACGCCCTTGACTGCCTAATTTGGCATGCCAAGTTCTTGAAATGTGAAAAGGGGGGTGATGGGATTACGTATACCAACCTCGACGCGTATCGTCAACTAAGGAGAGCACCAACTAGTGGTCTAAATGATTTACTCAAATGAATGACACTGAACTACTGTGTTCAACCTATACAACTTACTCCGATCTAAGCTAGAAACACCATGTCTATGTCCGTACTCTCCCCGTCGTAGATACCCACGAAAAAGGATGGAAATAACAGAGAAGCCTATCATTGATTATTTCCTCGAGCATATCCCGTCGTAACACTCTATAAAATCACTCATCATGGAGATCGTTCAGAAAGATCGTTCTTCAATTCAATATCGGGTATGGGATCGTGATTAACTTTTGGTGCTATGCTACGCACATGAAGACATGAAACTACTCCCCTTAAACAACCCAGCGACCAGAAACGCCTTGCTATTTGCCTCCTTGCAAAATCATTCTATCGTCGAAATCTTGAAATCCTAATCCGTCGCGCAGCGCCATGAGAACATAAAAGAGACAGGTAGGCCGCGTCACGGAACTTCCTTACTATAGGGACATTCCGAGGACACGTGCTGCCTTCTCCGAAGTGGTGTAGTCGGGGGCCCTCGACATAGTACTCTGGACTGGGCTATCCGGCATTGGTAGCTCCGTATCCACTTGGTGATCCGCCGGATGAGGCTGCTCTCCGAAGTTAAGCGAACGTCGCTTCTTCTTGATGTTGCCTTGAGAGGGGTGTTTAGGACCGATGTCTGGCCGAGTCACCGGGCGAGGAGGGGGATCGCTAGGAGGGAGGCGGATGTCCGAAGCCAGACTCGACTCCGTATACGCGAGAGATGTCTTAGGCCGGATTGGTAATGACGGCCCTTCCGGTGTTCTGCTTCGCCCAATACTAGCAGGGATCAACGGAGCAAGAATACGCTTCTGACTTTCGAGATCGATGCTTGGTGTGGGTATGGGACTGGCCATACGTGCAGCCGCCTTCTCGTTGGTGGTGAGGCCTTTAGTTTGCGCAAATGCTGAAGAGCGTTGGTGATAGGGGTCACGGTCAGAAAAGGCATCGATGATGGGGTTGACCATGACTGTTTGGCCATGAATGGTTAGGATCGAGTTAGTGGGAACATTAACCCAGTTTTCTAGATTCCTATTAGCATCATGCACGTTGGAGGTGCAAATGGGTAGAACCGTACCTCGTTCAAAAGTCAGGGGTTCGCTAGCAACGAGAACGATATCTGCTCCTTTATCCCGTCGCTCCATCTGGTAATCATGATCATTCGACGTAGAGGGCGTAGAGGACTTGGTCTCCCATTGGGTACCAGAGGAATAATACAAGCTAGCTGCTTGGTCGGTCTTGCTGCTCACGTATCTCGTGCAGATGATACTGTGGCCATCTGTAACAGCGAAGTTCAACAGACTTCTGGTATCCACATTCTCACTCTGAATAATGCTCTCGGGGATCGCCATGGTAAGTTCGTTGATAACCTCGATCGTCTGCAAGAGAGCCTTGCGCATTACGCTTGGACCAAATCCATTCTTTGGTTCGGAGCTCGGGTTGACGCCTAGACGCTCGAGACGGTCGCAGAACAGAGCAAATGCCCACTCGCTGTCGGTTCCACCTTGCACGCAGAGGTACCATTTGTCGTGGAGCCGTTCGCCAAGCCTTCGTTTGATGTGCTTCCAGCCTCCCAAACCACCATTATGCATAAACATCAAGCTCCCATGGTAAAACGGATGGCAGTTATCCTCGCTGAGGGAGCCTTCAGTCGTAGCTCGAACGTGGGCGAATACGAGTCGCGATGCTGTTTTAGAGGCAATGCGGTGTAGGTTGGTGCAGTTCCAGGCTGGAATGGTTGAGGTGAAGATGCAAGGAGCAGCACCTAACTTCGGGTCGGTGTAAAATCCAATACCAAATCCGTCCGCGTTGTTCTGGCCGCGTCGTGTATCCTGTAAAACGGAGGGCAAAAGTCAGTCATACTTGTCGTTTAATGTTCTTTTGTTTACCTATGTGATACTGGTGACAAGGTACGGTGTAACTTACCAGTCGAAGTCGCGAATCGAAGGACTGCTTGAGGATTGAATGAGTCGGGTCAAGAATCAGCTTCGAGAGTAGGATCTCGTCGCTACCTCTGTAGACCTAATTCACCGTCAGTTCGATGCTCTCACGACTCGTGACCACCTTAAAGGATAGATTACCAGAAAGCGGCACATCTTCGACGCGCATGTGACAGGTTTGATTGGGCTGCAATCGACGAGTAGGTTGGAATTAGAGACTACCAGGTGCCATAGACTGGTGGTTGAACAAACGATGGAATTGAGTTTCTTCGTTATCGATGGCTTGAGTTAATTATGAATGACTTATATGTGGCTTGTTTTCTTTTATTTTTTTTTTTCCGTCAGGCTTTTTTATCACTCTTTCTGTTGTAGTCACCAATGGACGTGGCGTGCATAGATTACAGGATTGCGAGATCGCTGATTTGGCCGTGCAGGTGAACCACTTAGTCTCGCCTAGCGTGGAACTGGGAAAACCAATCCCTGGCAGTTATTACATACGTTGGTAAGGGATGTTAAAAAGCTGGTAACAGCACGCGGAACCAGCTGAACGGTAGGGTAGTTTGGCAGCTGCAGCTTTCCGGGGTACGGGTACGTAGGGCCTGTTATGGAACCTAAAAACCTAAACATGCTGTAATTAGCCACACCCTGCACACCTTGTTTTAGTCAAAATCCGGGGCACAGCTACCTATGTTAATACCTACCCAGGTGTATAATAGCCAATTGGACGCCGTACAACGTCTAAAAAGGGGTTGAATTATCCACTTGTAAGTACATCTATCTTCTATAAAACGTTTCATATGAAGCTCAATCATATTTCTCTTTGTTTCCACGTCCCCTTTGTGCTCCTTATTAACATTATCTCACCAACCGTTTCGCCAATCTAAACAACCTGGATTTTTGGTATAGACGAGATCATGTCTAACGTGACACTAGCTTTGTTTGACAGTGCAGTATCAACGGGAATCGACCCAGGGATATGGAACATCTCATATCCCTAGATCATTCCAACAAATAATGTATATTATTTTTACGACTAGTACGTAATGTTTGCTCGTCTTAACCGACTAGATCGACACCAATCAACCGACTATACCTATTTTCTCGATTGTTCTGCCGCTTACCTCGCCTTACCTAACTGTACCCCTTTAGATGAACGCAAGGCACATAGGGAATGTCCAAGAAACACCATTACATATACATGATAATAGAGCGAGGTGGCTAGTTCAATCCGCTTAACATTGCCTTAACTTAACCATCATATCCGGTGTGTATATCTACTTAATGCAAATCACCATACACTTCAGCATGAACATCGGAACTTCAATATAATATGCACCAAATTTTAGGCAGTTATATAGGCTTTATTTCTCTTAAATAAATTAAATCCTTATGCCGCAACTTGTTTCATGCGACTTTGACATATATGTTGAGATAGATGCCCTTATATGTCTTCACTGGTGTCACCTTTCATCCAATATTCTCCAAGTGCTGTTTAGAGATAATATGAGAAGGTTCCATTATTTAAAAACACCGAGTCATGGCTTTTAACGGACCATTTGGGAATCGTGTGGCTGGCATCTTATTTCGACCGTACCGCGCTCATACACAACTCATAACCCGGAATGAGATGCCGATCCAGCTGCGGCGGGAAAGGAGGTAGAGTATCATAGCCTAATCTAATCTCCGATTATCCTCGCCCCTCTCAAGGAGCGAATCTCTCTCGCCGTCTTTCGTCGTGCCATCGTCGCGGTAAAGCACATAATGCTGCGTCATGAAGACCAGATCGTACAGCATCGAGACGTTCCCCAGCGCGAACTTGACCGGGTTTCCGGTGATGCCGGACCAGTCGCCCTGCAGCCAGGAGTCGATGACCAGCTGCGCGATGCTGAGCATGCCGCCGAGGAAGTCCAGCAGGATCTGCCAGATGCTCCAGCCCTTGGTGCTGCGCTGCCGGAAGTTGTACACCAGCTGCGGGGCGTACTTGACGAGCGTGATCAGCAGCTTAACGTACGAGAGCGTGTAGATGACGTCCAGCCACGCCCACGAGGTCTTCGGGTTCGCGTCGGGGGGCACGGACGCGACTACGAAGATGATGATGGCGACGGCGATGATGGACCCGCTCATGACACCAAGGATGAGGCGTGACGGCTTGGTGCCTGGTGCATGGTCGAAGCCCCAGATCGACGGCACAAAATACTGGCTGGTCAGGATCGTACAGACGACGAAGGCATGAGCAGCGAAGACGATGTCGTTGACCGCGACGGTTGGCGTGTGGTCATGGTTACGGAGAGCATATTGATAGCGTATGACTGGAGATGAATAGAATACGGCATTATATATGAGATAAGTAAGAAATCCTAAGTAACGTTAGAGAGTATAGCCATAGTGTATGAGATATGGACGAGGTACCAAGGGTGTTGATGAAGGGAAAGTCTACAGTGGTACCAGAGGTCGACTTCCTTCGAATGTTCAACATAGGCTGAGAATAGAAGGACAATGACCAGGATAACGTATATATCCACCCGAATAGGGCGGAGAGGAATTCGAGGAAAGTCATGATCCTCGGCCGGTTAAAGAGCGCTTGGCATACAGCGCAACGGTTGGTAATGAGGTAACGCTGCTTTTTGCTTGAACATCCGGACTAAAATGACGTAATCGGAAACAAAAGAGCCTTATATCGTCCTTTTATATAACCAATTCTAGTTTCCTGGATTTTCTTACAAGCGAACACTGCCAAAGGATGTTACAGTAGTACTTCCAGGCCGCATTCTGGATCTCTTAAAGAATGTTTAGCGGGGGTTGGGTGCGCTGACTCGTTATTAAAGCTTTAAGATTAGCAGCCGCCGTTTCGAAACCTTGGAACGGAATTGCGCCATCGCGTTGGGAACCAGATAAGCTTATAATTGATCCCTTTACAAGGATTATCGTTTATATTCATATTTCTATGTTAAGCGAATCTTTATATACCATAGATTAGGTAATGCACTTTCCCCTATTTATGAAGGGATACAATTGTAAGTACTATCACATACGAAGTAAATTTGCATATTGAACTTCAATATACTGTTGCTAATATCAATTCAACACTTCCAATAACCATAATATCTCCCCGGACCTCACCGATAACTGCAAGTTACGTTAATTTCGATTACGGAATATTCGCTGCTTAACAGGCCCTTGCAGCTTATGAATGAACCCAGCCCTGTCTTCTCGGTTGACGACAGCTAGAAACTCGACAAACTTATCCCACCTCTGCTGGTCGAAAAGTACCAAGATTCATGATCCTAGGTATTGTTGCCACCTTTACTCGAGAGCAGAGATGCCATTTTCAGTCTATAGAAACACAGTTCCCATACTTATACAACATCTTTCCCACGATGACATAGCCTCCAAACCCAGGGACGCCATAGATGAGGGCAGTTATGAAACCCCAGGTGAAGAAATGTCTTGATGACTGGGGATCTTGGTCCTCTCGCTTTGCAGATCTAAATAAGGTGACCAGAGACGTTGCAGAAGGAAGTGCCACGAAATTCGGACCCATCAGAAATCCAAATACAAGCCACATCATAGTCCACACACGCTGCGCTGTTGTGCTATTGCCCTTATGGAAGCCAGATAGCCCGCCGATGACAGCTATGGAAATGCCGGTAATGAAGAGATTCACGGTCTGGATAACCAGGTACGATATTAGGCCGCTATGTTTTAGCCTGGACCGCTCCCTGCGAGAAAGTTGGCTGATATCGGATATCCCTGTTGGTAAGTTGTTCACAGGACGGCGTGTTGTCGCGAAGTTGCCACAGTTCGGAATTAGCAAGACAGGTTCAGGCTCAGGCTGCGGATCCGACTTGAGCGCTTCAATACCCATCCATTTAAGCTCGATCGGTGCATCGGTATCAGCAACGGGTTTCTCGTTAGATCCTATCTCGGAAACTTTCTCATCATTTTCGATTTCTTGTCCGGGTATAACTGATGGGTTTGCGTCATTGGTGATATCCGTCGACTCGGGCTTAATTACCGACTCGACGTCTGATGGTTGACGAACCACCGTATCCGACGGAGAGTATGTGATATTCGTTAAGCCTAGGCGATCTTCATCTATGGATGTGAAAGACCCAGAAAGCTCGTTTGGAACTCCAAAAGACCAGATCGAATAATCATCCGGAACAATCTCGCCAACTTCACCATCAATCACTGCTCCCCTCCCTCTAGCCTCTTTCATGATGTCAGACCTTACCATGTATAGGGCCGCATACTCGGGAGTTACCATGTTCCCAATAAGGTTGATGATGGACATAACCAAGTACGGTGTCACCGTTAGACCAAAGGCCGCGTATCCGTACTGAACTAACTGGTCCCCTCGGGTGCGGTATAAGGTGAAGGAGGCATACAGTGTCTGCAAAATCGCCACCACAGCCTTAATGGTGCTGAAAGATGCAGATATTGTACTGTCGAATCTTTCTTCAAGCTCGTTATCCTGCCTTTCGTCTAGAGACTTGGCCGGCCTCACCTTCGCGTGCCGAGGAACGAATGCGAGCGTATAACCTTGCGGGAGCTTGCAGACTCCATGTATCTCGCGACCCCAAGGCACATAGGGAATCAAGGTATCCGAATACATCCAGAAAACTTTTGAACATGGTCGTAGCCACGGTGGCATCCATATGCTTGTTGCGATAGGTTCCCCTAGTTGGCGACTGTTCTGTAGTGTCAGGAGCGGTAAGCGACATGGATTCGTACGCTGAGATCTTACAGTTCATTCAGCTCAGCTTCAGGCTTGCCATTAAACTTGATTGACAGGTAGTTCTTATTGGACTCTGTTTGATAAGTCAGCATTCATGACTCTCATGATGCTAGTTCCATGAAATGTTCACCTTTCACCTTTTCTAACCCCATATAAGAGATGCCCTGGATTGACTCGCCAGGAATTGGCTTCCATTCCGGATTCCTAACCACCATACAGAGAGCACCTGATCTAGCAGCTCTCTGGAGAGGCGATTTCTCAAGTACCGCGCATCGGAAAATAGCATTGAGGCCCTTCATCGCTCCGGCTTGGGGGAAGAGCAAAACCGCAATCGAGTTCACAATTCTATCCAGGATTGGCTCGCCCGGGGATACCCTAACAGTGGCGGCGTGAGCGACATAATTTCCGAGATAGAAAAGCGCGACATCTGTCCAACTGGCCGGGGTGCAGATGAGGTCTGGTGATCCGTGATTGCTCACGTTGTCTGGTAGCACGATGGAGGTGGTTTGTCTTCGAGAAACTGGAAAGCAAGCGGCTAGGAAGGCGCAAAATGAGATTTGTAGCCCGAAGTGCAGTGCCCAATGCGTTATGGGCTTAAGGCCGTCCATTTCCGTTCGTCTGCCGCCCTGGCACCGGGTGTGCTATGTCAACTCATGGCGTAATAAAGATGAACAGCACGGTATGCATTTGGGCAGGACGACATTTTATCATCGACCGCGCGAAGAAGCAGGCTGGAAAGAGGGAGTTATGGTCGGCGAGCATGCAGCTTCAGCCGCTGGACATAAGCTCTCAATTCGTTGACAGTGACAAGGTCCTTGGAAATATTGAAATTTTAGTGGCAGCGACCTTCCTATTTCGGGAGCGTCCTGCATACAGGCGAGTCAAAACGGGTAAACCTCCCAGCAAATCTTCAAGCTCAAATTAGCTGAAAAATGCGATTGAGACGGTATCCATGATTACTCAGACTTAACTCTTCAACCGACTATTTGAGCCCTTGTGAAGACGGCACTTACATAGGTAGCGTCAACAAGTCTGCCGTCTAGAAATCGAAGTCTACGGGCCGAGCCGCGCCTGAACCCGGGTACCCGAAACCGACGTCAATCGCCTGTTCATCCCTTACGTACCTAGCATCCCCGCGTGCCTTCACCCAGCGGTCGACGATGGTTCTCGGCCACAATTATAAATTCTGCAAAGAATTATACTTAGTTAAATAATAAAAACATCAAGTTAAATAGGTTATTCATGCGACATCGACCTGAGCAACTAAGGGCCCCTTCCTTTGAGCGAGGAGTGTGAATCTTGGATATCTTCATTTTCAAGGATTGTTGGACTCTCTTTTCCTGCATATTCCCTCTATTGATCGGAGGATTGGTTTCGTAACAATTCTTCTACCCGACTGGCCCCTCTTTGAGAGGCTCTCGTGGCCTGGTTGGAATAGATTTGTGGGGTTCTTGGCAAGGCTCGGGTATAACAGTACAAAATCAAACGACATCTAGCGTTGGGAGTGCTCTGAAACAAGACGTCATGGTGCAGAGGTTTTGGGGACATCAGGATACGAACTTTAGCACCCTGGATGTGATATATGATATTTCTGAAGTGTGTCCCATGTTGAAGCTACTACCCTACTACCTACAGATCTAAAAGTCCTCCGAAAGCAACGCGGGACAAACGATCTGCAGTTCGAGACTCATCCATGCCAGGATCCATGAAGATAAATCAACAAGGATGCAGGAACGGTCTAGGCAATGTACGTATGTATGCAGTAGCCTGCCGACGCCTTAAGACTACCTATTTAGTCTCATTGCTCTCTGCAACTGCCTCGCATCCAAAGCTCCTGGAGGGATATTATGTCATTATGTCAGCAACCCTTGTCAGGGGTACGCAGTAGATATAACCTTGGAATGCCCAGTGACAGTCAACTGGTGATTACTAATCTACCTGCGTCACTAGTCTAATTGGCTGTCGGGTGAACATTATCACTGGACCCCTAAGGGCAATCGCATCCCGGTTCTTTGGGAGGAAATTACCACCTTAGGAACAGTACCACCCTTAGTTACGATAGATGCTCAGTTGATAAGTTGACTGATGTCAATTAAGGTGACAGGTAATAATTACAACCTAACAGTATTACAGAGATAATAGTCACTTTGAATAGTGTCAATTATAACAGGATAATAAGTGTCAAGGTTGGTGTCAATATAACAAGCCTAGCAGCTACCGTGTTAATCCTTAAAAATAACTATAGAAAGTGGTGATCAAGTCAAGGTGTTGAGAAATTTGCTGACATAATGTCCAAGACCGCCACCCCCCCCCCCTTTCCAAACACCCATCTGGCAGTAAAGTTTACACCAAGTTAAGCACACCCCTCAACGTTACTAGATACTCCATGTATATGAATCTGTATCTACTTCCATTTCTAGATAAACCTTCCATAAGCCTACTATTTCTCGCAGCAAGTTAAACACTACACTATCTTTCCTTTTAACAACTCTACATTAGAAATTGCGCATCCGCCCGACATGCGTACGGTCATATGACGACACATCCTCCTGACCTCCATTAAGCGAATCTTACTTATTTTTAATGATTTAGTGTCATAGCCCCCGATGTAAAATGGTAACATATTAATTTCTACAGTACCTTGAAATGAAGCACCATATGATGAAAGTCTAGGTACTAGTACATAAATCATTGGTAGGTAGTTGATATTTATGCCATAGCCACTCTTCACACCTCGTATTTAGAATCGAGCCCGCTAGTTAAGCCTCAACATAAGCTTAAGAATGAAGATATATATGAGCGTGTTCACTTGTTGTTGGTCCATTCGGAAATAAAGACTAATTGGTTGCCTTCTTCAACAGAGTACCTACCTACCTACCTAGGTACCCTTCCAGTAGATATATTAAACATTGTTTCACTGAATAAACTGGCTAGGATTATCCATTTCGATAAAACCTTATCACTCACAGCTATAATGTGCAGCTCATATATATTCTCGCGATGGAGAACCTTTCCCAAGCTGAACGCGGCCAAACTTCGAAGACAACTGCTTCCAGGAGTAGAGACAATAATGTCTCGGCAACGTCTTCACGGAACAATCAGACAAGTAAGGTTGACCAAGGACCTCGCAGATCGCAAGAAGGTGTGACATGCTTATTGATAGCGCAGATTCACCTTCAGACTGTTGACATATTTTGCTAGGTCCTGGGACACTCGCAAGTGGAATGAAAATTCTCTCGTCGCATGAAATTCGTAAACAAAACAATTCTATGATATTACATTCCCTAGGATCTAGTGGCAGACATCTCAAAAATAGTCATCGACACACTTGAGAGTTGGGCTCAAGTTGTCGCTCTACAAAGTTTATCACATAATCTAAGCCATCATAGACACTAGGTTATGATATGCTTTAACATCGACTTTTATTAAATGAGTAAAGTAAGATCACTGGAATAGAAAAGATGCTCGCAGAAATGGATGTGAGAGATGAAAAGGAACTAAGTTCCCAACCGCGACTCGATATCCCTTTAGTTGGCACAATACTACAGTCTCCATAAAACCGGTAACTATACATCGGCGATAGCGCAGGCCTCTTGAGCCTGTAAGCGTTGCGGCTCTCACAGCGATCTTCAGAGGCGTCTAACCAACTAGAAGTAGGATTTTATGGGTGTCAGTGGAGCTCAGGGGTTGATGGAAGTACAATTACTAATCGTCGTGGAGCTGTAGTCTTATGCCAACTAAAGGGATAGACACTTGTGTACCTGGGTTAAGATCTTGTCTTAGTCATGAAAGCAAAGTTTGCTGCGGCAAGAGCAAGGTCAATAATGGAGACAAGGCGACTTCAGGCCCTATGTTTAATTCATCAGTAGGGCGGCCCTGTGAGTGTAAGGAAGATGACTTCAAGGATTGCCTCTCCGAGATGATCTTGAAACAGCTCAAACGTTACTGTGAGATGATACATCTGTCAGCCGAAGGGAACTTTTATTAATCTATTCACTTAGCTGAGTTTATACTCTTATTACACAGACTCCAGAAAATGCCCCAAACGAGTCGTCGAAAATGGTCCAGTCTATATCACACGTTAGAAGGGGAGGGTGTACTGAAGAGTGGCGACTGGGACTTCCTGTCCTTCCAAGATGATTTCCTAAGCACACCAACCGAACGCGCTGATCAGACATTTTCTGCCCTCATATACGGCAATGCACCTCTCTCTGTAAGTTGGCATAAATCTTGCCATCGGTAATCTTCTAATAACTGCTGAAGAGATTATTCAGATGGGTCTTCAAGAATAGGAACCATGGAGGTACTACCGACGAAGTAAATAACAAAACAACCATTTACCTCCATACTGGTGGCATGGAATTCCTAAAGAAGGGGCTCGTAGCTGCCGGGAGCGGTATCATATTGATAGTCCCAGTTGGGATCCTGCTGCTTCAGCCAATGGGAAAGGTTATGTCCCTTGTGGTGGTAATGTGTTTCGGAGCGGCATTTGTCTTCGTCCTGATGCTTCTAGGCAAGACCTTCGACACGATGCCATCGGCTTCTCTGCTTACTCGGCTGCTCTAGTTACGTATGAGCTCTATTATTACCCTTTCTCTACACTGCTAATAACAAATCGCCATAGGTTTTTAGCAAATACGCAAGGAGGCAACGGTTGTGGTTGTTGAGCGATGGAAATATGATCATAACTAATACTTCATTCATCCTTAGGTACACGATTTTCTTATTGCTTGGAATACCGGGTATGGTTGGGAGCTGGTCAGCTTCACTTACGACTCTTAGTCATAGAGTTACTTGTCGTCTTTCTTACGTTTTTTCCTTTACTATGGACAGATTAAATAGGTATCTCGTTGGCTTCCCTCACTTGCAACATAGAATCAACCCCCTGAAGGATGACATGAAGTTGAAATAGCGCCAATAGCTTCACTTATGAATGGTCGGTTTGCCGACTTAGCCGAGTAGAAGGTTATAGCCGCGTAGAAGCTTTGTAGCATTGATTTGAGGCCATTATTGGGTAAAGCCTACCCTCCCTGGCGCTTAAAGATAGTCCTGCAGCGATGTACCCCGTACATTCTGGCCCTTTGCTCTGGATGCTACGTGCTAGTCATTCTCGTAGGAATATTCTCAGATTGGTTAGATCGATTTTATTTTACCTCCGAAGCCCTGTCTGCTCCTGAATTCGAACGAAAGGCAGTTTTATCGAATCATCATCTACTAGGTACGTACCTATCTAGATAGGTACATACATGTAGGTAGCTACGGAGATGTCTTATAAATTATAATTTTACCTCATAAAGGAAGGTCTAGGTAGGTGGTGAAGTGATTACTACGGCGATTGATTCCCGGCATATTTATTTTCACGAAAATTTGATTTTGGCGGGGGTCTACGATCTGAATTGTTGATGGCTCTGACTCCCTACTTACGCATGTACCTACTTTTCCTTAGTCACGCAACATTCTGGCTCTGCCCTCTCTAACCTAAGGAGGGTGCTCCAGAAGTCCTATACGCGAATCAGTGCGCGTCGATGTATGTACGTCCCCCGGACGTAAACAAGCTCATGATCACACATGTACCTTTCCAACACAGTATACATCTTCATATTTCGTCGACTAAGACCCATACGGCTTATTTTCCGGTTTGACATATCAAGCTACATCTTCAAATATAATGATACGAAGTATTCTGTACCTATGTCACCCTAGATAAAATCAGTCTAGCAAGCCTGGCCCGCATATGGAACCATTAGTCGTTACTTGTTCCCAGTAGATGTAATCTTACCTACATCGCCCCTTGACCATCTCAGTATAGTTAAGCTATAGAACCAACAAGAGAAGACAGACCATTACCTGCTTTGGTGGTATTACGAATGATACGTGTATGATATAAGATCTACACCGTCATGTAGCCTGCATGGGCTGAGAGCCCCGAACGCAGATCGATTTCTTCCAGGTAGGTTTTCAATAACAATTAGGTTAAATTGGAAGGCATGGGTGTATCAAAATAATGACAATTGACCCAAAGCATGGAAGGATGACACGCTCAGGGACGCATTCGCACCGCGCCAACTGGAAAAGAAAGTTCTTACGAGCTGTCCACACAAGACAGCACACTGCTACTCTTCCACATCCTTGCATTAGGGAGTTCAATGCATCATATAAGTCGGGCGACGAGTTGTGGGTCTTGTGCGAGGTTAGTAGCAAATAGCAGATAGATGGGGAAATGAACCTTCTTCCAATGCAGACAAGAGAGTCAGGTCCAGGAATTAATGACCCTTTCGGGGTAAAAGGGGGCTGGAATCGAACGGGATCGACAGCTTTCGGTGTGACAACGCATCCGCACTGGATGGAATTTAAAAATTATAAGAGAAGTGTGTGGTTAAGTACCTACCTAAGTATGTTTATTTAATTTATTTAATAGCACCCCCTTACGAATCCGTTTACACACTCCACTATAATTATGCCCCTAGAACTAGAGGCCTTTTTCGATCCGGAGTACACGTAGGTGCTACAAGGAATACGGGCGCTATAGTTAAAGCAGGGTATAGTGGTGTTTTAGATATTTCTATATTATGTCTGTCGATGTAAGTCCAAGTTTGGCTTTCATCTATATCTTGAAGTTTACTTGTTAATCCTCGGTGTCTATCTTTGTGGTTCTCGGCGTTGACTGCATAAGGCCCCTCAACGGCATGGTTTAGATAAACGGTATCGTGATGATTTCCTCTGGTGTTATGTCCTGGAGAAAGTCGTCTTCGGCCGCGTCTAGAATTGTCATCTGCTTCATCACAATTCCTTGTCGGTCTTATGAAATCGCTTCTTAGGTCACACTTAAACCGTTCGGATTCCACTGTGGTAGCATAGGTAGGTATGTCGAGCTTGATGTAGGTCTTTTCATGTAATATGATGAACGAAGGCCTTGTGATCTCCTAGCTAGCAGAGGTAGCATATCGAGAGGACGGAATAATCGAGGAAACGGTATCTTGATAATCAATACTAGAAAATCAAGAAGGACCTATACTACTTGCTACTAGTATTAGCTTTTCAATGTCTTTTTCTAAGTGAGAAAAGGAGAAAACGACGCCTGTGATCATAAAGATAGAATATGTCAGGCTGTCGGAAGGCGCTTTGGTATCAAGAATTTTCGGAGTTGCTAGATGTCAAGGAGAACCATCTCGGAGAGAATGCGCATATATCGGGTTGTTGCTAGAGCACGTGTGTTTGCTAACGCATCGATGGGTAAGGAAGAATGAAGATACATGCGGTAAGAATGTAAATTAAATTAGGAGGGAGGGTCTCGCGGAAACCCGGAATACGTCGCACTTTCTCTCGCGAGGCTGTGATGACACGTCAGTAACCCAGGAATTTTCGAACACAATGTACTCCTCGCATAGAATTTTCCGACTCAGCTATCAGTACCCCGCTTATTTGACGTGAACTATCAATGTTGAAGCTGTAGATCACAGCCGAAGCATGATGGGTGCCAGGGGTTGACGATAGGTCACCGCGGGATCGCACAGTCGAAATCCGGGTCGATCCAGGTGGCGGCCCTCCCAAAACCAAAACATTTGGGCCTACCTGGTAGACATTTATATAACCGATTGGCCAACAATATTTCGGATAACCTAAGCGTAGCGTCAATATTATCCCCTTAAGGATTAAACCTATGTTCCCATCCTGACAGCGAAGTGATATAATTTACTTACCAGGTACATGGATTGTAATCCATCACTGACTGAGTCTTGGAATGCAGTGAGAGACAGCGGGCAATTAGCGATACGTTTACATTTTCTGGGTGTGTTTAAATTAACGGGATATGTCGGCGCCGAAGGAGAGCCTGATACTACCAATCCCTCAGGTGCAATGCCGTGAGAATACCTAGGTATGAACGCTACACCGTGATCGGTGAGTGGTTGTATCTAAAGGACCAGATGTTCGTCCCATCGCAATCTTTCGAGTAAGATAATGTCTCGTCTTTGGCATATAGATATGCTTGTCCTTAAATTTTATCATTGTCTTTGCTGGATTCTCTTCCAGTTGACCTCGCTTAGGTGCTAAATTTAGTACCGACATACCATAACCACAACGATTACCACCATTGCGGCGGCTAACTCCACAGGCCAAGCAGCCACCCAGCTAGATCTGCTCCTTCTCTGATTGCACTGCACAACTGATCGTTTAATGTTCATTTTTTCAATACTATTATCGACTTTTTCCTCAAAGAGGAAGAAGATGCTAGAGAAAATTGGTAGTAACGGATGCCCCGCTTTTCATCCGTGAGACTAAATCAATAAGGCTTCGGTGTACCTCCGTATGTAGATAAGTTTTCGGAACCTTAAGTAATCACCATATCACCGGTCCGTTCCGTCAGGAAGGTGCGTCTCTCGGGCTTTTGCCGAATGAGCAAATCGGTTTTACACTCTTGCGTCGACGGCCGGGATGCTTCGGATACTAGATAAGGTCTTGTAGCCTGTGCTTTTTCGACTCACGGTTTGCTTTTAGAGAGTGGGGTTTGGGATAGGTGCTTGTTGTATTTCTACCTAGGTAAGCAAGAGTGAACCCTGCAGCAGAGAAGATAGGTCAATTTTAACTCGAAGTAAAGAGCCTCTCAAATTCTAGGGAGGAACTCGGACCAATGACGGACCCAAGTATGATAGATCGAATCCACCTAGACAACTAGGTACATATACAAGTATCCATGATGATAACTTTTTTAAATCAGTTTGGGTTGACTTCATTTCCCTGTGCACTCACCTGGGTAGCGCAGTGCCAAAAGTTTGATTAGGCAAGGAGGAGTTGGTGTCAAAACATAGACGGGAAGAAGGGCTTTTCATATAAGAGTTTATAGCAGAGTCAGTTCGACCAGTTATATCTCTAACCCCTCATACTGAATAAACCCCAGAGATATCGTCAATATCGTCATTGGTGGGGGCGATACGCACCTGGGGTCAATGTAGATGCTGGGTCGTTTAGATATGGAGGCATGAAAATCATTCTTGGGAAGTTGAAATAACAATGACGAGGCCAACGTCTTGTTCACGATTCCCAGTGCGCGTAGTAAAAGATTAGGTCTGACATAGCAATTTCCGACAAGGAGATAGAAGGCACAACGTTATAAAAAATAAAAATAAATACGGGATATCTCCAGCCGCTATTAATGCTACCTCCTAATAAACGCGAAGTGTAAAAGGTAATTCTCCTAATGGGGCGTGATTGTATATTAATCGGAGTAAATATTGTAATAATAAACGATGGATTTAGGGTGTTAGAAGGATCAGTTAAGGGTTCTAAGATTCAGGATACAGGTACCCTACTATGTACCTAGTCAGGGTATTAAAAATACTCGACTAGTCGAGTATTGTGGGTCTTACTAGACTAGTACTAGTATTCATGGTCAAAATATGTACTAGTACTAGTTTGAAATACTAGTCCTAGGCCTAATTTGGTTAGCGGCGCACAGCTAAGCCTAATATGGCTAGAGGCCCCCGCTTTTCAGGTGACTTTCCTTGGCGTTAGATGGAAAGCTTCCAAAAATAATTATATAATATGCTTATATAATCAACTATTTATGT